CCGCAATCTTTTTCCACAATTTTTTTATCTTATTTATTGCTAGATTTATTTTCAAATATGTTCGATATGAAGCACGTTTATATAAACTTTATTTATGAATCGAACAACGTTGTCTTTTTCTCAACTTTGAAGATAAGACATGTCGGAACTATTTGTAGTAGCAAATGAATAAGAACGGTCTCTATAAAAGATGTCTACTTTACAGTGATAATTAGTTTTGCATTTTTTTGACGATGATACCAGAAACACAATAGTAATGATCTAAATCCACACCTAACGTACGTAGAATTCTGAGCATCTGATGATTGAATGTCTGTAGGCCACCATATGCTGAAAGTTTTAATCATTTCCTTGAATATAATAAAATGTATATACTTTTGTCAGCGCACTCAGACCCGTAATGGTTTATACATAGAAAAATGCTACAAACTGAACTCTACCACATTATTTTAAAAGTTTGCCTTCATAGATATATTGGACAAATACTTGACAGGTATCCTCGTTTTTATCCGTAGTGCGAGACAAAAAGATTATAGTTTCTTCCACAGATAGAGATTATAAATAGTTTACATATTTGGAAAGTGCAGAATTGAAAGAGCTACAGAATGAGCTGTAACATATTGTTTCAAATCCTAAATTTGTTAGACTTACGGGCAAGATAGTGAACGGATATAGTGATTTTGACCTATTACGGAATAGTTAGTGAAGTAGTAAACAAAATCAGATCCAGAATGGTTATGATATAACAAAATGCAGAATTTAACGAACTTCAAATTGAAATACATTAGATCTTTTGGAAAGTATATAGTCAAGTACGGGTAAAAACCAGGATACCTGTCAAGTATGTCCAATATATCTATGAAGGCAAACTTTTAAAATAATGTGGTAGAGTTCAGTTTGTAGCATTTTTCTATGTATAAACCATTACGAGTCTGAGTGCGCTGACAAAAGTATATACATTTTATTATATTCAAGGAGGGTTACATATATCGAAAGCAAATAGTCATAGATAATGTTTGACCAATAACTCTATGAAGACATTAGTCATAAAGCCCAGGTAATTGCACATGTTGTCATATATAAGATTCTATTAAGAGGATCGGACTCATAAACTCCTTCAATTTTTCCTCTACTTCTTACTATTCATAAGGGCTGACTCAACTCTTTGTTCTCAATTAAAATAGTCTTAGTCCTATAAAATGTGACCTTAAGTTAAGCATTGACATCAGACGTCATTAGGGTTGTCTTAAGTTAATGTTGTAAAACGAGACACTATAACAAACTTATTAATGGTTTAAGACTGAGCTTAAATTTATGAAATAACGAATATTCATAAATCGATTTCCATGACAATAACTATCTGGTTCTATTAGACAGTCTTGTGTCTAAGATCAGACGTCGTAAACATATTATATAGCACCCCATATAAATAAGTCGACTAATACGTGTTTAAATGTTTTTGGTCATTGATATTGCTGTACGTTAAATAGAAAGAAATTTACCAAGGCGGGTTACTGATCCATTGATTTAGTCCTCAATAACATAGGTCTTCAATTTTTGAATCTGAGTACGGGAAAAGAAAGTTACAAAGTGTCCCAAAAACTAAATCAAAAAGTGTACACTTTTCATAAAAGTTTAGATTCTTTGTCTATACTCCTTGCAGGGTGCCCAAATCCAGTTTTTCGAAATCAAGAGTCTTTCGTAAAAAATCAGGAGGAAAATCAGAGAAAAACAGGAGAGTATCAGACAGTTTTTTCTTGGATAAGCAAAACAAAAAACTCCAATAACTTTTTCAAAAAAATTTCATTCAAAAAATATCAAACAGAAATACTTACACCTATTTTAAACGAACAGTTAGCTAAACAAAAGTTAAATGAACAAAATCCACCAATTTGGTATACTGAAAATTCAAAACAACTGAATAACCTTAAAATTTTACTTGATAACAAACATCAAGATAAATTAAATATACTGCGACTTAATAATCAAAAAGAGAAAACACCAAAAGAAAAAGCATCCATTGCTGTTAATCATATCCAAATATCATCGAAGTATGTATGACAAGTTTTGTAAATGTTGCTAGTTGCCAAAAAAACTAATTTGGTTTATTTGATATAACTTGTAAATAATTTCGATCAATAGTTAAATGTACATTTTGAACAGATCAACAATGAAAGGAGATACATTCGCTTCTTTAGGGATTCTTGGCTGCTTTAAACTTGTGAGTGAAGAATTTATCAGAAAACCATTCATCTTCACCTTTGTATTTTGGAATTCTGGACTGCGGCTTGAAATTTGTTAATTTCATTCTCGTGTTTACGATACCATGGCAATAACTGGTCTTGTGTTTGAGGATTCAACAATGGATAAACTACCAAACCATAATAGGCAGCCCATGCTAGCTGATGGACAGTTAAGAAATTGTTGCATGTTTTATTACACGCGAAGAAACCCATATTTGTACCTAATAAACTAGTATTTGAATCACCTAAATAAATCCAAAGCAAAAGCAAAAAGGTTTGAAGAAAATGTATTTAAACAGCTTACTGAACAGCAAATTTAGACTAATAACAGGACAACCAGACATTCCACTTTCTGCAGATGCATCTTGTGGTCGAATTTTGCATATTGTTGGATCTGAACGTCAGAAATATTTTGGCTTTATCGTCCAATATCGTCATTAAATATGGATGAGCACATATGACAGCAATAAAAAACGATGGTGAATTATCGTTTGGTTTAATAATCGGTGTTATTCGATAGCTTGTAAAATCGTACGTTCCGTTCGAATCGGCAAAAAAATATTTCCCAACAACTAGCGATAACTTTTCCAACTTTTGCCGAACAATATCACTTGTTTTAAATAAGTTATGTGCTATCGTCCGTGGGCATGTAATTAGAAAGCGTCTCAGCGGTGCCCATTGTAACTCAAACCCATTAACATATTTCGGAGTTTCCGTTATTCAACTTCAAACAAAAATTACACAGAAAAAAATAAGAGAAATTGACAAGCCATAAATGGATACATCCTTGACATTTCCA